AAAGTATAGAAGGTGTTAAGTTTATCCATATACATGTAGTTACATCTGCCGAATAGTAAACAAAAAACAAACAAACAAACAAAAACTATGAACAATGCTATAACTATGCTTGATGAAAGAAAGGGTTTGTGTTTCAAATGCAATAATTTACAAATATATATACTTAATATTTATACAGTAAAAATATGTATGAAAAAAGTCAGTCAGCATAAAACGAGTAAAGTTGTTTATTTGTATACAATTCTATTTTCTCCAAACAATCACTATAATTTATTTTGAATTGTTTTATTCACACCACAATTAGCATCCCCGTCATGCCCCCTTTCACTTTGCCGATAACGTACTATAGTAATTTAAAGTAAAATGTGAAACTAAAGAACGGTTGACGATCTCAAAAAAGATATAAGTCTATGAACTGGTCAATAACAAGTGCATGGACCCACCAAAATGTTCAGTTGAGGGGTCAGGTGTCTAGAAAGAATAAGGATCCCCTTCTGACAGGTCACTCAAGTTTTGAACCCTTTGTAAGCCTGCTTCATGGAACATTTCGTAATGAAATCATATTCAGCAAAACAAAGGCCTAATAATTATAATTGGTTGGAGACAAGTCAGTCAGAATAAAACATAGTGAAAGCCTCTTTTTGCTAACAAGGTCCAATATAACTTCCCTAATGGAATTCGTCGGAATATCTACTAAATACAGACTCATGATAGCTTGACATGTGGACAGGGTATGATCATGCTCTTCCTACGTACACGATCTCATCTCTGGTACCGTATAAGTGGAAATTTTAGCGAGACGCAAATTTAGTGATTTCTACCTAAAACTGGTGTTTTAATTTTAGCAAAAAGTAATTTTAGCGATTTTTAAAATGTTATCTAAAAAAGCTATTACAAATAATACTTAATTAATTTCTAGCGATGCTTAATTTTAGCGATGTCAGCACCCTCACTAATAATGCCAAAATTAAATCCTCGCTAAAAATTCTACTTATACTGTATTTTTACGGTCTCCATGCTTTAAACCATGATCACGGATTACTATTGTTGTGGATCACCTCGGTTTTCTTAAACTAAATCTTGATGAGATTGCACGGATATATGTTGGAAAGGGTATGCTTATAATATTGATTGAAAGGGTAAAGCTGAGAAATTGTATTTATATACCTTCATCACCTGCATGCGGCATTAATATATATTTCAGTTGATTCGACACGCAAGATCATGCTCTACGGATGAAATTTCTAAAACGAGGTAAATTATTGACAAAAAAGTCGACGAAAAGAGAATATCAGCAGTCTTGTTTATTAGATTACCATTAACGTCTTTTCAAGTGAAATATCCAAATATAAAACAGATGTGTGAGACTTGTGTGGTATCTTTTATCATCCATGAACCAAGCTATATGATAAACGTGATGACTTTAACTTTAGGATCGTCAACTTCCCATTCTTATGCAGCATAGCAATATACCTTCTCTCCTGCATACGGGGTTTATATATATATCAGTTGATTTGATACGGAAGAGCATGCTTTACGTACGAACATTTCTGAAATGCGGTTTAGAATTGACAAACAAGCTGGTGAAACAAGAATATCAGCGATCTCGGTAAAGTCATCATTTCGTAAATTCTGTGATCGATACAATGACCTTGTCAACAAATACAATTTATCGAGTGAAATGTTGACTGACGTTTTTCATACTAATTGTTGGTCCATTATTTATACACTGAATTGACGACGGATTTTTTTCGTTAATCCCCGATCATGTCCAGGAGCACACGGTAATCGATCAGCTAGGGATGCTCACTCCTCCATGGCCCCTGATCCCACCTCTGATGGTTTGGAGGTGCGTGCTTGCTCTGCAACTATTTTGTATTGTTTTATGGACGTGTGATCTTGAGTACTGTTTGTTATCTCCATATGTTTCATGCAGGCATGAATAAGTGAGAAGTGTACAGGAAGGCTGTTCCAATGTTTTGCACCTGTCTTTGTATTTACATAACCACTATTCATATCATAATAAAATTTGGCATATATACGAGGGTTGTTAGAAAAGTTCGCGGACACATTGAATTACGGAAAATCTATTGTGTGCTGTGAAGTATGACCTATGTCTGAATGAATTCCTACATTTTGTTTATTGGTATGTAAAAAATCAGGTCCATATAATAAAATCTTGAAATTTTACAACTATTTTTACTATTGGGTCATGGGATTCACGGAGCAATCACTTGACGTAAGCGACGTGACAACCATATTTCAACCCGTTAAGCTTTGTCGCAGTTATATTTATAAATCTTTCATTTCTTAGATTTTTCTCATTTTCTTTCTACTTTAAAATTGAATATCTACATGTTACTTTTCTACTATAATGTCTTTTGTACTGATTCGTATATTATTGAGATCTTAAAAAATAAAAAAAAAAGTCTATGCAGTTAATCGATCAGGTATGGAAACTATGCAAAACCATATAGACGAAACGCAACGTCCATGCCATAAGGGGGTATTGAAGTATCGATGGAGTTAATCATTCAAAATGTCCCTCCTTCCATTCTTATGAAGCTATAACTATTTGAAAACTTGTTCTTTGTATGTGTAGGAAATTCCCGGCGGCATCTTGAACATTTTAATCTCTTTTAGACATTTTCCTGTCTGCACACATAATTTCTACGTAGTGCAGTGCTCCATGACGCTCAATGACGTTCCGATTTTTGGCTGTCTTTTTACGCGTTGATCATTTATAAACGGCTATAAAACAGTAATATACCATCCAATTTAGTTCAAAATTTCCCCCAGTGACGTTTCCTGCATCCTTAAGCGGCAGATAAAATATCATAAATCTCTTTGCGCTACAATTGTACAATTCTTAATTTTAATAAAGAGTCTTTGTGATGTAAACGTGCCAAAATGTAGCATGCTCCGTGAAGCAAGTTTTATCAAAATAAAAATGCTGTATATTTTTCAATAATAACCGGAGAGCACCAAATTCTTGTATATTTATTGGAAAAAAGGTAAAGATTTTATCTGGAAAGTTTGACCGGTTTCGTGGAAATAGCGCGCTCACAATAGAACTTGTCCGCGAACTTTTCTAACACCCCTCGTATATATTTATATAAATGTTTTATAAAACGAATGTACAAAGAAAATTCTGCTTTATGTTCATGACGTCAAAATTTGGTTGGGTGTTGAATTCTGTATCAAAATATTTTCACTAAAATTATGTCTCCTTCACACTTGATTGTGAAGGACTGCAACTTTTTAGCTATTTGCGACACTCAAGGTCATTAAGCAGTGATTAATATTTTTGTGGCGGTACCTACTGCGATATATGGACCTTGGTTTTACAGTCTTATCTTAAGGAAATTTTTTCACGTCCCGATTTGGGAATCGAATTCAGAAAATAAAAAAAACTCTCTATCCCGCCACTCTCTAGACAACGCTTTACACCGTGTCAAGCGAGTGATATTCATCATTCTCCGAAACTCAGAAATCATAATCATTCATCGTAAAACTCGTAGCAAACATTTTCTTCTTTTTTAGAATTTTGTTTGTATGTCATTAAAGGTATATTTGTTTGATGAAATATAAAGATAAAATTAAACGCATTATTTCTTAAGTTTGTTTGTTTGTTTTTCGCTTTTGTTTAACGTCCCTCTCGAGAAATTTTCAGAAAAGCCAACACTCACCAGTGGCGAGTTGCAAAATTATGACCTACGCTCGATACTCAGGAGCATTGAGCAGTGAGGGATCTTTTTATAGTCAAGAATCTAAGAAACTGAATGACATAATCATATACAGTCTAAATATTGTTTTATGTTTGGAATAATTTTTTTAGCGACGATGTGCAAATCATATACATGTTTTATTGTGAAGTATCTCATCGCTTTTTTAATTTGAATTCATATCATCATCTGTGGAATCAAGTGAGTCACATTTCATTTTAAGCAAACTAGTACAAATGACTGAACAAATCCCATCCACATTGTGGTGTGTTGGTACGTCTGCATCATATCGGGCTTCCTTGTAAATTGTTACAGAAATATGTCCCTACTGCATATCCTTATCTTTCTTATTGGTGTGCATTAAATCTGACCCTGAAGCAAGCAATGTTTCACCCAAAACGAGAGAAACATAACTATCCTTTTCTTTATATTCTCCAAGTTTTTTGTTTTTGTAGGGTTATGATGTCATCGTATTCAATTTAGTGTAGATGCCATTGGTCACAGGTCTTTTAGGAATTGTAGACTTTCTATAATAAACTAAGTGGTTATAATCGTCAAAGCATCTTTCAAATCGTCTGTTTCCATCTAAAAGCGACTGAGACCTTCGAGGATTGATTCTCGGCGTCTGTTGTAACTTGGTGGAAGGTAAGGTTTTAGTCGAGTTCTGCTGTGAACACTTTTCGGAAATTGTTTTAGAAAGAAAAGTGCCTCTCTAGATTAGATCATAATCAGAGAAATTTCTGGATGATTCTCTGTCTGTACCGATGGATTGTGATTCTTATGATATCCAGAACGTTCATTTTCTGAAACATGAATTAATGCCATATACAAGTAAGAGACACTTATGCAGAGGAAGTACAAGATATATGCGATTCTTATCATTGACATAATTGGATTAATCTGTTCTTTAATCTTAAAAACCTAATTACCAGAGCCGTAGAGCTCTGAAGCAAACTTTTTTCCTCATTATGAGGTCATTAATGTCTTAAAACAATGATTAACTAAACAAATATATTTAAAATACTATATGCATTCTTTTAAAATGCATTCCCAATACATGTAATTTTTAAACATGATTCATAATGTTTATGCTCGGTGGCATTGAACACAACTAAACACAAAATGTAAGAATTGAATTGCTTAAGTAATTGACACGTTAATGTAATATGTGGAAATTCAGCCTAGCTACTACATTTCTATGCTAAAACTAAGTTACTCAACTGAACATTTTATTTGATATCTTTTGCACTTGTATATTCCTGTAGCTCTTTTCCTTCAATCTTCAATATTTCGAGTTCCCTTGCCACTTTCATGTCTACTTCTATACGTGTACCTGAAAGAGAACATCAACGTATTTATTTTACCCAGAATAAAATTAGTATTATGTATATTATCGCTTTTTCTCATTTCAAACTACTTTTTCTATCAAGATGTATTAAAATCCCTGAATATGATGTTCATCGTTTTCTATAAAACACGTAATTGATATACCTAGCATCATACAGTTATAAACGATAAAACATTTTCTGTAAAATGCTAATGTAAAATTAAACACACCATCGGAATCTGCAAAATAAACCAAAAGCTATCCAACATGTTGAAGTCACGCCTATGAATCCAACTGCTATAAGAACTAGCATATAGGTCTCCAAAGCGTTATTGATATCTTATATATCAATGTGTCCATCCTTCAGGTTATCTAGTTATTTATTACGCTAGTTCTATCAGCCATGAAATAAAATATGCTTTCTCTAAAAGATTATTCCACAGTCTGCGAATGACAATGATATAAAGCATATCATATCATTAGAATAATAGTACAGTGTATTTTGTGAAAATTTTACATTATTTCTTTCATCATTTTCCGAAATTAATGCAGATGTAATACTTTTAATTATATAATAAATATTTATGAATATTTATATTCATGTATACTTAAAAGAGGATTTCTTCAAAGTCTGGATGAACTTCATCGCCATTTTTTTTTATATTTGAGTGTTAATGGGTTTTTTTCAGTTTCGCTTATCCACTTCCTAAAATACCCGTACGTGTGTATTTGATACTCTGGTGTTGTTTTAAATGACTATTTTGATGAAAATTCTTTTTGCCCTTTTGTAAATAAGACCATGCACTTTTTGAAAGTTGTTTCTCATTTTTAAAAATAAAATACATTCTTTTGCAGTAACATAGGTTGTCAGACTGAATTTTATATGGAATTAAATGATGGGTGTAAGACGCGGCCGGGAATTTAGAGTAAACATGCATAGGTGTTACTTTTTCAACTCTTTTTTTACATAATTTGACCATGTAGCTACTTACGTTTTAGGCTTATATATCTTTTGATACACACTGATTTGGCGTCACACCAATGTGTATCACTACTGCCAATACACATATTGCGACAGCCATGACCATGAAATCCAATATAACACGATGTAGAACAGTTTCGTCCAAAGTATCCAATGCAAGCTGAAATTATAGAAGGAGACTTATTTGAAGAAGAAAATGTTTAGATAAGTTAGTTATGTTTATTATCAAAGAAGAAGGTACAGTTTCAATACAAACCTTGCCCTGTGATTTTCGCAACTCTCCATATTGAATTAAGTACTAACAACTAACTAATTCTAACAACTGTTTAGAAACAAGTCAGCTAATGATAGGTCATATTTGCTAACAAGGTCATTATAGTAACCGTAAAATTTTTACAATTCGGAATACAATCGAGGTTGAAAAAATCCCTGTAACAAAAGTGCTATAGTCAGTAAAACATTCATATATGGTACACTCTGTGGAAAGCTTGAATTTCAAGTTCCCGGTAAACTTGAAATAAAAGTATATCTCAGAACATATAGAAATATAAAATTACTTAATTAATTGTTCATTCATAAACCACCGTTGATTTTACTGAAAGTTAAATTGAAACTTTAGGTTTGATAATTCAAAGGTTGATTACTACATCTTATATCTGGATCTACATCTGGATATTTTTTTAATGCAAACCTTGCTGAAGGGTAGGTTAATAAAACAGGTACACGGAGGCCAAAATGAAAAAAAAAATCTTTGTAAATTTCCCCTAAAGCGACCGAACCAATCAAATCGCGCCGACTGAAAAGTTTTCTTAATAAGATTATTCTGATATTTTTTTAGGTTTATTAACCGTTATAAAATTTATTTCATCAAAATGCATTTTATTAGAACAGCCAATTTTGTTCTGTGAATTTCAATCGTTTGTTGGAAAGAAAATGACGCCCATAACATATGGTAACAGAGAGTTAATTTGTGTTGTAAAACAACGGCGACATATCAGCCTTATGCCTTTAGCTTTTGAAACATTCTGTAAATAATTTTTTTCAGGGCCAAATAAGAATTACAATCTTAAAATTAAAATTAAGATACATACATGTACGTACATGTACTAAGCATCGTCAACTGTTATGCAAATTATCCAACGTTTCCAGCTGTCGTTGATTCCCGGGCATACCCTACTAATTAGACAGTGATTCCTTAAATATCCGTTTTATCATAGTTCTAATTTCATTAACCTTAAATTTTGCTTTAAACCGGCATTTGCATGAAATTCTGCCAAGCAATTGCTCCAATTCATTTTGCATAATTCTTGTTTTAAAATATATTTTAAGTCTTCTATCAGATAAAAAAAAAATTCACCTACCTACCGACCAAGCTTGAAATTTAAGGGTCGGGTTATGGAAAACAAAGATATTTGTAATGGTTGCCACAGACAGTTTCTTTGGTGCTAATTAATTGCACTTTATATATTCCTAGCTCAAAAATAGCTACTTATTGGAGTGAACCTTTATATATACTTTTATAACCTCCCTAGAATTAGGCTTTTTCTACGAGATAAAGGCCTGAGTCTCATCCATTCGGCTAATCCGAGTTCTGAGGGAGGGATACAAAACACTTTGTATTCTGTAGACGATGCATACCATAAATTCGCTAATTGATCTTGGGCCATTCACCTTCCATTCACCTTCACCTTTAAAATATATATCTACTTCTTACATTATTATGATACATTAAGACAAAAAACTGACAAAAATCCTTGATAAAAGCACAGGAGGTCCGTGTTTGCTCCAATTCTATTTTGTAGGGTTTAATGTTTTGAGCATTTCAGCTCGAATATTCTCTATCTCCACATATTTCATGATTGTCTGAAAGCTTCTAGAAACCAAATTGAATTTAATATACAAATCTCCTCTGCTTGATTTTTCAAGCAATATCCGAGAAAAAATTCTCACAACCACACTTATAGTGATTTTGTTGTAATGTGAACCGATGTTCCTCAATCAGATTTGGAATAATTGTAATCTTTGTAAAATTACAAAAAAATCTATTTAAAAGGGTTTAAATGATGAATCCATGGGAACTCTTACCGACAGCTGGATTGATTGATTAATTGATTGATTGATTGTATACTGTTTAACGTCCCTCTCCAGAATATTTCACTGATATGGAGACGTCACCATTGCCGGTGAAGGGCTGCAAATTTAGGCCTATGCTCGGCACTTATGGCTTTTAAGCAGGGAGGGATCTTTATCATGCCACACCTGCTATGACACAGGGCCTCGGTTTATACGGTCTCATCCGAAGGACTGCCCAATTTAGTCGCCTTTTACGACAAGCAAAGGGGTACTGAGGACCTATTCTAACCCGGATCCCCACGGGGTATTGTCAATATCAACTCGTGTGTTTTTAAATATCAACATCAACACACCCAAGTCAAGTGTGTGTAGTATAAGAAAGTTTTCAACAAAATAAGATTGCAGATGACCAATGACAAAATTATGTAGATTCTTTATTCAATTTTTATTCAAGAATACCTTCTATATTTTTGAAAATTTCTTTAAATTATCATGGTTGCATATGTTTTCTGGCTAGCCTAAAGAACGTTGTTATTCCTATATCAAATAATTTGATAAAATTTTGAAACTTGCATTTATATAAATAAACCTTAAAATGATATATGTGGTGATAACACACAGTATTCGAGCTCTAAAGTCCAGTAAACATAAAATAGTACGAGCAAAGCACACACATACCTCCAAAACATGAGAGATGGAATCAAGTTTCATTGGGGAGTGAGCATCCCCTGCTGACCGATCATACCCGCCGTCACATACTTTTATTTCATATATTTTGGCAACGTTCAAAATGGCGAAAGAATTTCAATATACTATGAAGAAATATGACTTATCTAAATTTTAATAATGACAATCTAAAATCTGTCTATCATACATTTTTTAATATACATTTGAAGTAATTTTTATTCATTTAATATTGCTAAATATTTAATAATCAAGGATTTGTGTTGGGTGTTTTTCTTGCAAGTGATAATCATACACAGAGTGAAATAAGTTCAACAAACACTATTATTTCTGTCTAGTTTAGGTTTTTCACACGGAAATCCAATAAAGCTTTGTACATCTTTTCTATTGAACCCGTATACTTCGTCAACCTCTTCGACCTGAACTGGAATACTTCTCCCCTTTTGACTATCCCCAGTCTTCACTTGAAAATCACTTATACTGCAAAATTGTAAATCAGAATTCGCTGGTTTTTGAGATTCTGTGTCCGTATTTCTTTGGTGTTCGTTGGAAATGCCTTGTCTTTTATCTATGCCGCGTTTCACTCTTTTTGCCATTTCTGAGTCCCCGGAATGTAATTTTTCACTGACATCAATGCAAGCTTTGCTACTTTCCCATGAATGTGATTCAAGATCATTTTCGTATATACACGACGAATCTAAATTAATCTTGCTGTAATTGCTATTAGAAGCAATTTCCAAAGGAACAGTCTTTCCATTACGGAAATCTAAGTGATTATAGTTATCCGAGTACCTATTATATACTTCATTTTCATATTGTCTTTGTGGCCGGCTTTGTCGCAGTACTTCCCTTGCTTCACTTCTATTATTTCTTTTCTCTCTATCTGGAAACTCTGATAGAGGTATTTCATCTGAAAATATGCAGTTCATGGTCAACGCCTTGATAAAGGGCCTAAAATGTTAATTTTTTTAAAGCCTTGTTTTGCAATTTCATTACATCTGCATCCAAAGTTGTTGTATTTAAAAAAATAAAATTAATTTCACTATCGATTTATTTCTCATATTTTCTTCTTTCATAATACATGTAATACTTTACCTCTGGTGTTGCTGTTTGTCTTTTTACCCCAATTTTGCTCTCTGTACCTAAATAATGCAATTGCTATTCTTAATTATGACTCTATTTGCTGTATATTATACTATATATATTTACTATATATATTACAATAAAACCTTAGTTACATTATATATTAAATATTTATTATTTCAATCCATACTTTCTTCTACGGCTGATAGAATTCAATATAGTTACTTACCACTTGCATCTGAAAAACAGTATCCAAACTACAGAGGTAATAGAGATTGACCCAAATGCTGTTAACACGATGTGGTTACCTTGAAACCTTCCTTCTCTGTCTTCTTAAGGAGTAAATTAGTAATACATTGTTATATGTAATAAAATATTCATATATATTGTTTGATGATTTATATATATTAAATGTTTATCGAAATTTCGGATTTTTACTACATATTCTAATTAAGGTTAAGCTAGTTTGTGTATGCAGGTGGATTGAGTTGGTGACCTCTTTCTTTGCTTTACTTTTGGCTATGACTTTTCATTGGATATTGTCTTAACAAGGTTAGCTTTATGTAGTGTTCCTTAAAAAGCCATTGTAATATAAGTTAAATTATCCTATTTGTTTTCTTATACAATTGTTTTCTCAAATACAATTTATCATTGAGTCAAATGCTGACTGACGTTTTTCATACCAATTGTTAGTACATTACTTATACACTGAATCGACGACGGATTTTTCCGTTATTTCCTGATCATGACAACGAGCACACGGTGGGTGTGACCAGTTGGCAGGGATGCTCACTCCTCCATGGCACCTGAAATGTCCGTGTTTGCTCTGCTCTTATTTTGTATATTGTTTAATTGACTTTGAGATTGAATACTGTTCGTTATCTCCATATCCTTCTTGTAACATAATGCTGTACATGATAAATAATAAAGCATGGAATAAATGTTAGTTAGACTGTATCGTGATCATTATAATGACCTTCAATAAATTCTCTTCTGCGCGGACATCAGAAAAAATTGGTCTCAAAAAGGAACAAAGACACCATTGCAACTAAGATCCGTTAAATTCCACAAATATTATGCAGTTTTGAGACAATACATGATGTGGGGGTGAAATGGGGTGCCTATTGCATGTATATTTAAATCAATTTCTAAGTTTAAGCATCCGTTTTAGTGTAACTAGAAAAGAAAAGAATTGTTTCCAAAAAAGCAATTAAAGCCATGGAAAACAATTTGAAATGGAAATTAAAATATATTTTTTTATATACAGTGCGTATTCCTAAAATGTCTTTGATGATGTCTACCATCGAAGCAAAACATTCGATTAATATACTGAATTCAATCTATCTCACTCCTTTCATTATGAAGGGGAGGGGTGTTACCCTCTAATTAGCAGTTTTACAAACATAAATCTCTCACCTACAACAGTTGTACTGAAGAGCCTGAACCCCTGAATAATTCCATAAAGCATATATGTCTTATAGAAATGATTTTCATTTGTTAGAACATTAAAACACGGGTAATATTTGCATTTACACTCGGCTATTCCCATATCAATAACATGACAGTTGGAATAGATAATCACAATACATGAATAGAGAAGAATTTCTTTCACATTTGGCTTATCCATCTTATAGAAAAACCTAGGTTAGAATCTATGTTTTATCTTATATTGACTTAATTAATGTTAACTTTGACGAGTCTGATAAATTGGCAAATAATTCGATGTCATTTTAACCTTAGCATTAGCTTTCTTCAACCTCAGATCAGAGGGTCTAATTTTCAGCAATAAAATAATATGGACTTGAAACATCAAGTCTTCCACCTGGTAGCGTAGTGAACTTTTTCATCTGGCAATATGTGTTAATGAAGAGAATATAAAAAAGTACACACTCTACATTTCATTGCATACTACGAGCCTAACTGAGAAAATTATATAACATTTTTCAAATACATATTCTGGTACTCATATTTGTACGAGTAAAGTCAGAATTTTTTGTGTTATTTTAGAATCATGGGAAGCCCTGATAAGACTACAACTACTAGTGTAAACATAACATTGGTCCTGTGTAATTTTTTTTAAATTAATGTACATTGACTGACTTCATTTGAAATCTTATGGAACGGCGATTATCAGTGGGAACGTATTGAATAATTCAAGATCTTGAATTATAAATCAAGAGAATGAATTGATAATCCATGGGAGCGAATAGTGTAATTCGAGATCTCAAATTAATTTTTGCTTTTTTGAAAAATTGACGTGTCCCTTCCGTTCGTGGCTTTTATTTTCTTAATTTAAATGTCTAGATTTTCTTCGTTTTTGCTCTCGTTCACATAATAAATTAAAAATGGCATTATCTATGTTTTATTTGTAAATAACTAAATTTTGACCTGCCCCGCGATGCGACCTTTGCGGTTTTTAAATCAAGATATTTAATCTTTTTTTTTTAGTTGAATTAGTTGAAAAAATATGTCATATGCGGATAACATATGACATAAAATTAAAAAAAATATATGAAAGAAGTATACTTTCCGAACAACTCTCATACATGCTGGACTTTTGTGAAAAGCGCTGACTTATACAGTCGACAGTTGAACCTACGTTATGTACGGAAATAAGGAATTGACAAACATAAGAAAACCTTAGAAATGGTAATAAATATGGTGTTAGCGGCACTGACTTGATGCACATGTACACAATCCACAGACGATGCTGAGAGACAGAATAATATAATTCAAAATACCTGTATTTGAAAGTTTAATCATTCCCTCAATGATTCAAATAAAGAAAGGAAACATTTCAGAGAGAAAACGTCGCACATTTTGGTTAAAGTGAAGATAAAAGGGTTAAAGATAGGGTATTTGCCGTTTTTTGCTAAACAAAGCAATGTTTGTTATTAAGATCCTTTGCTATTAATGCTAAATGCATGAAGATAATGCTGGTTAGAACAGAATATGTTCACATAGATTTACATCAAACTAAAAGTGCATAGTAATAAAGTAGTCAAGGGCGTAATGTAAACGCGGAGTCCACATGCTTCGTGTAGAATCGACTGCGATTGAAAGCATTCACAATCACAAATACAAACAAAAATCATCAACATTGCAATAGCCACAACTGATGAGAGAGAGAGGGAGAGCGTATCGCAAATTCAAACATTAAAAAATGTATACTTACTCTTTTCAAACGAACAATTCTCATTTCTCTCATTATCAGTATCATTTGTGCACAATTCGATCCTTCCAGTAAAACTAAATGAAATTTTGAACAACAAAAGCATAGGATCTTTTCTTTATTAAATTGAATTCTTTTGTATCTGTAAAAAAAGAATGCCATTTTGCATCGAAAATCTTTATTTTAGTACATTTATTGAATTTAATGTTGAAGCTTGTTTTTTGAAATTGCTGCAAATCTAATCCTCTATGCCCCGTTGAAAATAAGAATTATATAAGAACTATAATCGAACACGCTTATAATGATTTGCCTTTATAGCGAAGTGGTTTTCCTTCTTCATAACATAAAAATATATTGTAAAATCAACGAATATAAAGAATTAATTTTAAGATAAAGCAAAATAGTACGTCCTTTGCGATTCGTTATAAACTTGTTTTTACTACATTTTGAATTATAAGTCTATGATGCATTATGTACGCAGTAATTGAGTGTTATGGTGGTAACATTTTTTTCACTTGATTCACCAACGGAACATTTACAAACACATTTAAAAAAATAGTTTGATACACAGAATTGTCTATAGATCTTTCATTTTGCCTGATCATGATAATGGGCTCCAGTACACGGCGGGTGTGACCGGTCGAAAGGGAATGCTTACTCATTCATGGCACCTGATCCCAGCTCAGATGGTTTTAGAGATTTATTGATTCTGCTTAAAATTTGTTTTGATTTAGATTGAATACTCTTCGTTATCGTCAAATTTCATAAAATTACTTTTTTTTTTTATTTCGTGTTATAACTACACTTACATTAGGGTAAACACACTTACTTATTTCTGCATATGGTGTCATCTGTAAAAATAAAAATCATATAGAAGAACTAAAATCATGATGATGTTCAATTAAAAGCAGTATTTATGCTGAGAGATCGAACAAATAATAAATTAGAGTATAAATGATTCGAACTTTGGGAGAAATCTTGAATGTATCGGATAAATATATTCTATGAAATTTGATAGTACATTTAAAAAACAACAACATTTTTTTCATTCCTTAAAAGACAAAAAACCTACGAATGCATCCATAGACCCTGTCGCAGTGTTCGTCACTGGCACAGGAACAGGCACTCCGACAGCCATGACCGTAGTAGTTCTCCAAACAAAGACTTAGGCATTCTACTCCAAATGACCCAATACATGCTGTTTAAGTATATTAGTGAGTTAAACTTTTTACAGATTTTCAAAGAGGGGATAGTACTGTTTTTAACTCTGATGTCTAATTTCATGATCCTGAAAATTCATTGAAAATGTTGAGGGTATATAGTGATCGGGATGTTTGTCCGTCTGTATGTCCGTCCGTCTGTCTCTTACGCTTTAGAGTACACATCTATTATATCTGCAACTCCTTGTATACCTTAATTAAACTTTCACAGATTCTTTATTACATAGTGCCATTGTGCACATTTTTTTGGTTTCCCACAAAAACATGGACACTGCCATAATATTGAAGGGTACTCATCTTTTATCCGCAACTCCTCCTATCTCATTGAATAAAATATAATACTTTCAATTCTTTTTAATTACATATTACCAATGTGCAACTCTTATGTCTCCCCGAACAAAACATGGGTTTTGTTATTATGATGGTATGGGAGGCAGAGGTCATTTAGTTAGGTCTGTGGTCACTGTGCCTTTAGTTTTGTTGGCTCTTATTGCACGTCAAATTCTTTCTGAAAATACCAAATATTCCCAATTTTCTATTTTATGTATTGAATACCCTTAAACAATTGTTTGCACCTTTCAGACATTGACAGGAATGCTCGTAGACTTTTGACAAACTTTAAACTTTTTTACCACCTTCTCCAATTGTATATAAAAATACCTTTTTTATAAAATATTACCTCTGAACAATTTCATACTTAACATATTCAAATTCAATGCAAAACTAAAGGCATATGATATTGTTTGAATGCTTGAATACTGTTTATCTCCATACATTTCATTCCACAGAACCAGCTATTAGAACACATCGATTTATTTCTTGCACATAGTTAGAAATTGTATGCCTTGCATGATTAAGTTTCAAGGTAAATACGCACGTTCACATTTTCCAGTTACATTCCTATAGTCTGTGCAACATCTCCAGACACCTTTGTCACTAATAATTAGAAGAAAACGTGTTATCTTGAAATTTAGAGTAATATTGATGGAACCGACTATGCTACCTCAAATTTAACCTTAGTTGCTTTAACTTTAATCACACGTTTAGGAAACAGTTTTTACTCACCCATCCTTGCAAAATCCTTCTTGTAATATAACGCGAGGGATTATTACAACAAAAATAAAAAAGCAACATTTTGGTGAATATATCATCTCTGAGGTTTGTTTTAAATTGTTTGTAATATTCACAGGCTAAATAGAATAATTTCCTTGTATGATCTAAATTTGTTTCCTATTAATTACATGCGGACACAAAACTAATCATGAGTAATTTTGTTTTGTTTTTTATCCTTTCACAATTCTCTATTCTCCAAACAAAACAATTCACTAATACTATGGCACAGAAATTTATTTTGATTTGTTTGCTGGTCATCTTTAGCGTCACTGTCATGTGTCACTTCAATCTAAAAATAAAATTCCAGAGCAATGACAGTTATAATTAAATAATAACTAATAACTAACAAAATGTTGACCCAAAACAAGACCGACGAAATCCCTGCAACAGAAACCCATGCGCAAACAGCCGGCTCATTTCAAAAATATTTTTTAAATCATTAAATATAAAACAGTTTACCTGTAAAAATAATCATATTCACATAATTAGTTGATCTGTATCAATAAAACATTGTTTTTTTCAGTCTTACTTTCTACGAGGAGCATATATCACCTAAAAAAATCAAGACATTCTCTTGCTTTGCAAAATGTGAAAAAAGTGACAATGGGTACTTCAATTTCAGCATGATGATAGAAAACGAAATAACATTTAATCGTATGTTGATCTGTACGTATTTCAACAAAACGTACCCACCTTTGAGTGACGTTGCTAGAAAACGTTGCAGAATCGATGTTGATTGTTGTATGAAAAAGTAAATTCACATATGACAAAAAATGATAAACTTGGGTAGTATTTTGAAGAAAAGGTAACACACAAACAGGTGAAGACATGTTGACGGCATACACGGTTAGTTAACGGATTTATTCTCTACATATTGCATTTTTTTTGCCGAGTTTCCCTCCAGTGTTTACTTTCCCACATAACCAATGCTTAAAATGGCTCCACGTGACGTTTCATAAAAATGAGATGTAAAACTGAAACCAAAACGGCGATTAAGATTTATGTACATTGACCTGTATCAAGCTCATTACACGAACTTTCGTAAATCTGTTAACTTATAGTGAACACGTTGGAATTCCCCGAAATACATTTCTACAGGAAAATAAACTCTCAATTGCCAGATATTGATCATCAGGCGATTGACTCTCCATTGTCACACTTCACAGCATAACTTTTTTTTTTAACAGCCCGACTTCTCTTGAAAAGCATAACAAAACACAATTAACTACTCTAGTCATTAAAAAATGTGTAAATACTGAAATGCAATAAAAATTACGTGTCTGAAAGAGGAACGAATGCATGCATGGGAAAATGTATATAACAACATGTGAAAAGTGTTGTTACACTTTGCATTTTATTACGAGTGTTTATATTTGATGGAGACAAGAACGAAAGTGTCAAAAGTGTAAAATTCCTGATCATTTAATAAAACGGTTATTGACTTTTGAATTCGGTCTACTCGTGACTATATATACGGACCTGCTCAAGTATTGGTTGACCGAGACCGATGGCCTTGGTCAACTAAAACCTGAGCAGGTCCGTATAATCACGAGTAGACCTCATCAAAAGTCAATAATTGTATTATGTTTTCTTTGCATTTTTCATTTGTCAAGCACTTTCTAAAAACGCAGCATAACAGTAAAAATCAAAGTTAATCTTTTTTTCTCGATTTGACTTGCATATTTTATTACTTTCTAAAACAAAGATGAGAAAATAAACTTCGTCCTTACGGGAAATGAACTCCTAGCATTAGAAGAACAATTTGAATTTATAAATCGTTTTACTGTATAAAGGTTTGCATCTCGAGGAAAAAGCAATCCAATGATAGGTAGAAGTTAAAATATTTAGAATCAAAGAATGATTTATACGAATCTATCGGTCATAGTACAAAAAGTAATGCATAGCGTTATGTTTGTGCATATACTAGTAGTTAACTCTGTCCGATGCCCCATGACAACGCACTTTGAAAAAATTACGCACTTTGACAATTATTTTCAAAGAGCGTTAAAATTGGGGCAAATTCGACGACTTTGAAAAATATTTTCATATTGCATTACATTTGAGACACAATCAACGCACTTTGAAAAAAAATTTAAAATGCGTTAAGAGCGTACATCTTCATTTTTACCATGCAGACATTTAACGCACTTTGAAAAAAAATATGTATAAAACAAAATTTCTACTCTTAGATTTCAGTAATTGAGAGAAGATTTTCAAGAATATTGACCAAGCCATACAAATTTTTTTCAAAGTGTGTTAATATGGTCGATATCAACGCACTTTATAGAGAAATTTTATTTTTTCAAAGTGCGTTGATTTGGTCCCAAATTTAACGCACTTTGAAAACGTTTTTCAAAGTGTGTTATTTTTGAAAGTGCGTTGTAACAAGCCCCATATTTAATTAATTACAATCGACCGAATGTCAATCAAAAGATGTCAAATCTATAAACAATGCTTTAGATATGCTTGATGAAAGAGGGAGAAGAGAATGGGAAAGAGACCTTTTGAGTCGCAAATTCAATAATTAACAAATACAGCTGTATATATACTTACTGTTTCTAAACGAGGATTTTTCATTTCTCTTATTATCAAGATTATCTACACACAATTCTATCTTTCCGGTAAAACTAAAAGAAATACAATGTATTAAATAACTAAATCATTGCATCTTATCTTTTTAAAATCAAATTCGTCTTTATGATAAATTCAATATAAAATCTTTATTTAAGTGGATATCTTGAATACAGTTACTCTTTAATTCAGTCATTTTTTGATTTTTTTTTATTAATTAAGGGCCCTCTTTACACCAGTGAAAAATATTTTTTAGACATATATATATTCTATAAAGGTTTTAATTTTGAGCTTCTTTCATTAATTTTCACTATATGGTACGTGAAGAATCCAACACAACACGTTATCAGTGAAAAGAAATCACTGTTTTTATTACGTAGTAAGTACATGTAAATAACATGATCAATCAATATATCTTGGCCTTTTAAAATGTTAAGAATACTTGAATTGATTACAAATTGTGTTACATATTGTGAATTTATATTTTTTAGAATCTAGACCTAAGGGAAGATCACTCTAAAAATCACGCAAAAAATACCATAGAATTTAATGTACAATGTATAGAGGGTTCTTAAACATACTAAAGATTTTGAAGTCCTTTTTCAATATTCCCGAATATTTTAAAATCCTGTGACAATTAGAATTTAATTAAATTTCAATGGACAGAGTACAAGGTAGGAAACGTGCCCCTTATTTGATATAAAAATCAGAACACTGGTGAAATCATGATAATTTATAATTAAGAATTTAAAAAATGCTTGCTTTAAAACCAGTACTAATTGCATTCAAATCTTATATGGAATTCACTAGCGGATTCAGAAGTTGGTCATTTCCCAAAATTTTCTCATTTTGTTTGAATTTCAACAAATACTTTTCTTTTCGGAAAACAGATCACAACAACAGATTTTATCAAATATTTTTTAAAAACAACATTTGTCAGATACATTTTTCTCCTTTTACAAATAAATTTATTTCAATAAAATACAGTGAATAGCCAAAGGAGAAAAATGTACTTACTTGGGCTCACATATTTTAAGAATGGGACGGGCCCAAAAATCAATGGAAATTGGATGTTAACATGGTGCCCCTACCAAAAGTAAAGATATATATCCTACATATTACCTTCCTTTTGTTTGGTAAAACTAGAATTCCATTAGGGTTCACATATTAGTGATTCAAATTAATGCATGCAAAAATTACAGTAAATTTATTTATTTATTTATTTATTTATTTATTTTTGTCAATCTACTGGGGGCCGTTTCACATCATCCTTAGAACACTTTTAATGAATGGGTAACCACACTTACTTATTTCTGCATATGGCATCAGCTGTAAAAAAGATTATGATATAGAAAATTAAATTGTATGATATTCAATAAAAAGCAACATTGATACTAAAATTTTTTTAGAAAGGCATTTTTTCATTACTTATGAAATAAATCTTACGAAGGCATCCATAGACCCTGTCGCAGTGTTCTCCGCTGTCACAGAAACAGAGAAGCCGACAACCATGACCGTAGTAGCCCTTGAAACAAAGATCGGAACACTCTACTCCAAATGACCCAATGCATGCTGTTTAAGTATAATGTATGAGAACAAATGTAATTTATATGATATGGAAAGAATAATCACATTTCACAGAATAATGCACTCTTATACAGCTTATACACAAGTATGATATTTAAGTATGTACAAACATGTCTTGGTTGGATTTCAGTTTTTCTTAGCTCTACTGGTCAGAGACCAAAAGAGCTTATGCGATAGTAAGGTGTCCGTCGTCCGTCCGTCTGTCTACCTGTCTAGCTGTCCGTCTGTCTGTAAACAATTTTTCAAAACGCTACTCTTCCTACAGTTTTGGTCTGATTTTAATATTACTTGGCACAAAAGTAGACTACACTAAAATACATTATAAATTGCAACGGTTTTTTATTTCGATAAACGGTGTTGCCATGGTTACTAAAAAAGAATTTCCTGTAAAACTCCTTTAAAATGCTACTCCTCCTACAGTTTTGATCTGATTTCAATATAACTTGGCACATAAGTACACTACACTGAGATACATAAAACAATGCATCGGTTTTTGATTTCGTTGAACGGTGTTGCCATGGTTACTAAAAATAAAATTTCTGTGAAAATCCTTGAAAACGCTACTCCTACAGCAGTTTTGGTCTGATTTCAATATTATTTGGCACACACGTAGACTACACTAACATACATAAAATAGTGCATCGGTTTAATATGAATTCGATGAACAGTATTGCCATGGTACTTAAAATAGAATTTTCTGTGAAAATCCTTTAAAACGCTACTCCTACAGTTTTGGTCTGATGGCAATGGCTTCTTTTCTCATCCTTTGTTATAAGTACAAACCAGTAGTGTTACAGTCTCGACAGAGACTTCTGGTTTGTTCTGTAATTGGTTTTCAAAGTCACTTATCACTCTAAATATAAAAAGCTAACTTAATTTGATCGACACTAGGGAATATATATGCTCTTATATGTTTTCAAAAAATCTGTTAGAATGATGAATATGAAAGGAAATGTCCGGAAATAGATTAACAGGAAGTGCAATTTCAGAAAAGATCACCACTTTAACAATAAATAGTGTTATTGGACAAAAATCATTAATGCATCTGATGTATAATATTTAAAAAATAACATGCTTTCTTTGGTTGTTAGTACAGGGATTAATGTCGCAACTGTTGCAGAAAAAAAACATAACCTGCGTAAGCGGGTCATATAATTTTTTTTTTCTGCACTAGCTGCGACGTTAATTCCCGTACAAGCAAACAAAGAGTGCCATTGTGCATCTCTTAATTTACTTTTTCATCAGACACATTTATATCTTTCCCATCACAAAACATTGGCACTGCCATAATATTGAAGGGTACTCATCTTTTATCCACAACTCCTCCTATCTCACTGAATACTTTAAAATGTGATAATTCTTTCAATTTATTTAATTACATATTACCATTGTGCCACTTTTATTTTATTATTTTTTTTATCTGACACTTATTCTGTGTCTCTCAGAACAAAACAAGGACTTTGGCATTAAAATGATGTGGGAAGCTGAGATCGTTTAGTATTCTCAGTGGTAACAGTACCTCTAGTTTTGTTTACTCTTATTGCACATCAAATTCATTCTGAAAATACCAAATATTCCTTACTCTCTGTTTGATGTATTGAATATTTTTAAGCAATTGCTTTACACCTTCTAGACATTGACAAGAATGCTCGTTGACTTTTGACAAACTTTAAATTTTTTTCACACCTTCTCCTATTGTATATAAAAAAATACCTCTGAACAATTTCATACTTAATATATTCAAATTTAATGCAAAAATAAAGGCATATAATATTGTTTGAATGCTCGAATACTGTGTATTTCCATACATTTCATTCCAAAGAATCAGCTATGAGATCCAATCTATTTTTTTCTTGCACAAGGTTAAAAATTTTATGTCTTGCATGATTACTTTTTATGGTAAATACGCACGTTTGCAATATCCAGTTACATTCCTATAGTCTGTGCAACATTTCCAGATACCTGTGTTACTAAATAGAAGAAAAACTGTGTTATCTTGAAATGTATAGTAATAATGATGGAACCCGACTATGCTACCTCAAATTTAACCTTAGTTGCTTTAACTTCGATCACACGTTTATGAAGCACTTTTAACTCACCCGTCCTTGCAATATCCTTCTTGTAATATAACACGAGGGATTATTACAACAAAAATAAAAAAGCAACATTTTGGTGAATATATCATCTCTGGGGTTTGTTTTAAATTGTTTGTAATTTTCACAGGCTAGATAGAATAATTTCCTTGTATGATCTAAATTTGTTTCCTATTAATTACATGAGGACACAAAACTAGTCACGAGTAATTTTGTTTTGTTTTTATCCTTTCACAATTCTCTATTCTCCAAACAAAACAATTCACTAATACTATAGCACAGTAATTTATTTTGATTTGTTTGCTGGTCATCTTTAGCATCACTGTCATGTGTCTCTTCAGTCTAAAAATAAAATTCTATAGCAATGAAAGTTAAATTATAACTAATAACTAACAAAATGTTGACCCAAAACAAGGCCGACGAAATCCCTGCAACAAAAACCCATGCGGAAACAGCCCGACTCATTTCAAAAATGTTTTTAAAATCATTAAATATAAAACAGTTTACATGTAAAAATAATCACATTCACATAATTTGTTGATCTGTATCAATAAAACATTGTTTTTGAGTCTTACCTTTTTACGAGGAGCATATACCACCTAAAATAAAATCAAGACATTCTCTTGCTTCGCAAAATGTGAAAAAATGACAATAGGTACTTCAGTTTCAGCTTGATGATAGAAAATGAACTAACATTATATCGTTTGTTGACCTGTACGTATTTCAACAAAACGTACCCACTTTTGAGTGACGTTGCTAGTTAAAGATAATTTACCTCAGAGAGGAGAGATAACTCCGTAAACTATATATATTAAATGTTTATCCAACATAACAAAATCTGTCTATTCTACTGCTAGATTAGGTATATGTATGTGTGTAAGCATTGTAACACTCAAGAAATTTGAGGAGACCTCATATTTAAATTTAAATTCCTCTAAAGACCTACGATTCTAGAATAGTAAGAGAAGAAAAAAAATAAGAACTCTGTAGAATCACTGAATTTAACCGCATTGGAAATAACTTTGAGGATTTAAAAAGTGCCTATTCTCAAAAACTCAGTAAAACATTTTAACTGAAAAACTGTAAAATCTTTTATTGATGGAATCAGGCCCCGTGAAAGAGAAAACATTCTCTGTCAATCACTATCACAAACCTTTCATTTAATCTGGTAAACGAAAAAGAAACATCAGTATAAAATGCAAAAAAGGAATAATAACAAAAAATAATGATTCATATGAAGTACCCATAAACGTAAGACATACATAATTTACGTATGAACTATTTCTAAAACGAGGTAAATTATTGACAAGCAAGTATATGAAACAAGAATACATTGTATCAGCAGTCTCATCATCATTTTGTATGTTCCATGGTCGTTACAATGACCTTGTCAGCAAATACAATTTAATATTGAGTCAAATGCTAACCAATACTAATTGTTAGTCCATTATTTATACACTGAATTGGCGACGGATTTTTTCCGTTATTTCCTGATCATGACAAGGAGCACACGGCGGGTGTGACCGGTCGGCAGGGGATGCTCACTCCTCCATGGCACCTGATCCCACCTCTGATGTTTCGGGGGTCCTTGTTTGCTCTGCTCTTATTTTGTATTGTTTCATGGACTTTGAGATTGATTAACTTAACAGTTCTTGACAAAGATGACCCAAAGGACCAAGCTACTTCATAACTTTACATTCGGAACTCTCTGGATTTCTTTACACAACATACACTTCGAGTTATTTCTATATTCCTTCTAACTCCCCTGTATTTTCTTAGCTACATTGCCCCGAAATTCTATTCTTAAACCAGCTCATGCAATGCCTCAATCGGCATCTTCACCATATTGTATAGAGTCTCCCCTCTCCAGTAAAGGTCATAAATGTTCCGTTGCGCCAAAACTCCAGTAGGTCAACACAACCCCAACACCCACCCCCTACCCCCGTTTCTTTACCTATATGTGTATAAAATACACTTCACAAAACAATTGCAACTTTATCACACTCCAGCCTCGATAAAAAAAATTTAAGAATTTAGCAAAATAAATCACTCGACCTTCCTTTCAGTGTTTAAAAATTGCTACGGCGCTAGCTCACCTATCTTTTTTAAAAGCTAAACTTTTTAACTTAAAGTGGGCAAGTTGTAAGATACCCGAAATACATTTATACAGGAAAATAAACTCTCAAGATATTGATCATCAGCCAATTGACTGTGCATATGTGATGTGTCAAGCACTTTCTAAAAACTGAACATAGCAGTAAAAATCAAAGCTTATCTATTTTCGATTTGACTTGCATATTTTTATTGCAGCCCGGGGGACCGGGCTGCTCTATACATAAAAGTTTAAGTGTTGGTGTATGGGGATTGGGGTGGGAGTAGTTATTTAGAATTAAAGGTTTTCTAAACATTGAAAAGATTGTCCATCAGAATTTCATTTCCCTTTATAAATTAAGAAATACATAATATATTTACTTCCAGAAAGTGAATCTGTAAAAATATGTATGTTTTTCATATTTAATATATAAAGTTGCTTATCATTTACTATCGAAAAAACGACAGGTCCCTTTTTTTTAGAACATCGAATTTGTACTTCTCGAATAAAAACGTACTCTGCACAGTTAGCGTTTTATATTCTAAAACAAAATTAATACATTTTTGAATATAGGTGATGCATGTGTCTAACTTCAATTTATATTTTATGCAGCCAACATTTACTTGAGGAATTGATCAAGTTTAAATGGGTTTCATTTCTGTTTGATTTTTATCCGACTATAAGTTTTCAAAATATTCGCAACTATCGTTTCCATCAATGAGACGCATGCCTTTTCACACATATCGAAGTGGTTCGATAATCAAGACTCATTTCTATTGTTTACTTTATATATTTCCCGGGAGACATTTGATGGTTACATCAATGTTTTCTTGTTGTTTTCTGAAACAAAAATGAGCAAATAAACTTCATTCCTACGGGAAGTGAACTTCCAAATAGAACCCCTAGCATTAGCAGAACAATTTGAATTTATAAATCGTTTTACTGTATAAATGTTTGCATATCGAGGTAATTTATATAAAAGCAAACTTAATTAGAGATTAACATATTTAGAATAAAAGAATGATTTATACGAATCTACGTACATGTATCTGTCATAGTACACAAAGTATTGCAGAGTGTTATGTTTGTGGAGATTGATAAATCTGCCGGATCCTCATAACAATTAAAATCTACCAAAGTCGATCAAAAATCAAACAAAAATTGTAAACAATGCTAAAGCTATACTTGATGAGAGAAAAGAGAATGAGAAAGAGAAAGTTGCCTTATTTATGCAGCAATATACCTTCATCACCTGCATACGGAGTATATATATCTCAGTTGATTGCGCAAGAGCATGCTCTACGTATGAATAATTCCTAAAACGAGGTAAATTATTGACAAGCAAGTTGATGAAACAATAGTATCAGCATTGTTGTTTGGAGTCATCATTTCGTAAGTTCTATGGTCGATACAATGACTTTGTCGGCAAATATAATTTATCATTGAGTCAAATGCTGACTGACGTTTTTCATAACAATTGTTAGTCAATTATTTTTACACTGAATTGACGTCGGATTTTTTCCGTTATTTCACGATCATGACAATGAGCACACAGTGGGTGTGACCGGTCAGCAGGGGATGCTCACGCCTCCATGGCACCTTATCCCACCTCTGATGCATCGAAGGTCCATGTTTGCTCTGCTCTTGTTTTGTATTGTTTTATGGACTTTGTAATGAAGTTCTTTTGGATTTTGTGCAGGCAGTAGAGAAAACGATAAGCCGTAGAATAAACAACTTTGAGACTGAATGCTTCTCAAGCTCTCCTTGATATATCGTAATGACGTATGAATGGAAATTACCATTGTTAATTGACAATACGCGTCGACACTAAGGAGCATTAAGCAGTGAGAGTTCTTTTTTGCCCAGAATCTAAGCATCTAATTGACATAAACATATTTAGTCTAAATATTACATGTTGATTATTTGATTAATTGCATGTATATATTTTATATATCTTTTTAGCGAGGATGTACAAATCACAGATTAAGATTGATTTATATGCTTTATTGTGAAATATCTTATATTTTTTTCAATTTGAATTCATATCAACATCTGTGGAATCAAGTGAGTCACATTTCATGTTAAGCAAACTAGTGTTTGAACAAATCTCATCCACTGTGTGGTCTGTTGCAATGTATGCGTCAGATTGAACATTATCACTGCTGGCTTCCTTTTTATTTGTTGTAGAACTGTGTCCCTTTTGCATATCTTTCGTATTTATGTTCATGAAGTCTGACCCTGAAACCAGCAAAGTTTCGTCAATACCAAGTGAAATATAGCTATCCCTTTCTTTATATTCTCCAAGCTTGAGGTTTTTGTAAGGATGTGATGTCATTGCTTTCAATTTGTTGTAGTTTTCATCGGTCACAGGTCTTTTAGGAATGGTAGACTTTCTATAAAAATCTAAGTGGTTATAATCGTCAGAGTATCTATCAAATCGTCTGTTTCCATCTAAAAGCGACTGAGACCTTCGAAGCTTGGTTCTCGAGTTCTGTTGAAACTTTGCAGAAGGAAGGGTTTTAGTCGAGTTCTGTTGAGAATTAGTGGAAAGTGTTTTAGTAGGAAAAGTGCTTCTCTCGATTCGATCATAATCAGATGAATTTCTTGATGATTCTCTGTCTGGGTCTATGAATTGTGACTCACTATATCTATATCCAGAATGTTCATTTACTGAAATATGAATTTAAAAATATACAAGAGACATTTATATAGAGGAATTACAAGATATGAGATTCTTATCATTGACATAATTGAATTGCTCTGTTCTTTGAATATAAGAAACCTAAATACAAGATCCGTAGAATTCTGAAACAAAGTTTTGTCTCATTATGAGGTCATTATATCCTAAAACAATGATTAATTTAAACATATATATCTACATATATATATTTAATACTTTCTACATTCTTTTAAAATATCAGTAATTTATTAAATGCTAATTCTAAACAGGATATATAATGTTTGTGTAGATGTTCTGGCTGTCCGATGGTGGCATTGAATGCAACTAAACACAAAATGGAAGAATTTAATCGCGTAAGTAATTGAAACGTTGTTGTAATATACATGGATTTGTATTGCTATAAAAAAATAAAATTGTGCTTAATAATATGAATTAGTCTAGCTACTACATTTTTATGCTTAAACTGAGTTACTGAATTGTTATAGGAATTTAAATATGCAGGACATCATTTGGTTTTTCTTCAAACATATTTGTCAATTTCTGTATCCATGTGATTATTTTAGTAATTGAAAACGAAAAAAACCGCGTGCGTTTCTAAACATTTTATTTGAGATATTTTGTACATGTATATTCCTACAGCAGTTTTTACCTTCAATAATTTGGTTCCCCTTGTCACTTTCATGTCCACTTCTATCCGTATACCTGAAAGAGAACATCAAGGTATCTATTTCACTTCAAAGAAATTTGGCATTGGATATTTTTTCTTTTTTTTTTTTTTTTTTTTTTTTGCTAAGTTTAAATTACTTTGGTTTAAAAAGATGTATTTAAATCCCTGAATATGATGTTCAACGTTTTCCGTATAACAAACAATTAGTATACCTAGCATCATAGGATGATATACACTCATAAAATTTCGGTAAAAAGCTTTAGTAAAATTTAACATACCATTGGAATCTGCAAAATAAACCCAACATTATCCAAAATACTGATGCCACGCATATGGATCCAACTGCTGTAAGAACTAACGTGTAGCTTTCCAACGCGTTATTATTTTCACATGTATCAATCTCTCCATCTTCCAGGTTATCTAATTATTAATTACGCTAGTTCTATCATCCATGCAATATATGCCTGGTACTACATGTTAATGGCAATGTTATAATATATCGCGTAAAATGTAAAAATATGAGAAATTTAAACAGCATTGCAGTTGTTGACTAGTGGACGACTCGACGATTTTTTCCAGTCGTGTTAATTAATAAAAATAATAACAAAGTTAACATTCTTTGTCAAAAATGCCATGATCATATGTAAAATGTCCAAGGAAATATGAAAAATAAACAATTATTGAAGAATAAATCATGAGCAATTTATATAGAGACTGAATCTTGACTTATGTTTTTTGTACATTATTTTTAGAATGATTACTTTCTGCAAAGCTGCTGAAACAGCTTGATAATTTTTTCTTATTAGTTTTATTTTATTTTTTTATTATTATCAAATTGTATTGTAAAACATATAATAAAGTTACGCACATATTTGATCATGGTATTGCAGTCTATCTTTTTTCACGCAACCTGACTTGGAATCACACCAATGTGTGTCACTACTACAATTACACGTCTTTCGACAACCATGGCCATAATATCCGAAGAAGCAAGGTCTAGTACATTTTTGTCCAAAAAACCCAATACAAGCTGAAAAAAACATAGAATCAAAGTTGATTTATTTAATCTTTTTTTTAAATACGAATTTTTACCATAGACTAAAAAGCCAATGATGCAAAATGAACGTACGTTTGCATGAACCTGAGTTTGTTCTATAGTAATCTGCACAGCACCCATTCTTTCCAGTAACACTAAAATATATAAACAGCTCAAATAAAGATAAGAATGGTATTTTAACGTAGCTTTGTAGATATTTACAGTTCTGTTTTGATAAATTTCCTTTAATTTTAATTATGACTGGGATTATTCACAGTCTGTCATGCTGTATTCTCCATTGTTCTCTCCGGGTATGCCCTATTCAGTCTGCGTTTGCGCGGGGTCAAATTTAATGTCATATTTTAAAAAAAATGTGTTTTATAATAGCTATTGACCAACAATTTTTTTTTGTAATTGTAGCTATTTTTCAGAAGTTTTTAAAATTATAGCTCATTCATGGTTTCCCTAAGGAGGATGAGAAGAAATATAAAACAATATTCCAATGTGTTTACAAACAAAATCCTGATAAATCAGATATAAATGCAAAAATCATTTTGACAAAATTATATTCAATGTTCATGATAATTTATCCAAAGTAACAAAGTGTCAAAAGAAGTAAGGATTACTATACATTAAAAAAAACTTACTTATTTTTGCATATGGTCTCATCTGCATAGGAATAAAAGATGAAAAGCAGTACATAAACGATAAAACCAAACATGATCGTGGGAGCAGTTCTGTCAATATATCAAAAATATATTGCTTTTATATTTGTATTAAAATTGACCACCTATTACACTTCATGCGGAAATACATAAACACATTGAACTTTATTCATTTAATACGTTAAATCGACATTTAAACATAATTCCAAGAAGTAATAAGCCTGTTAAATTGACTGTTATTAGCTGTGCGAGCTTTTTGTTACGTGAGAGGAAAGATATTGTTCATTTAAGTTTTTTACCGTCTTTATCACTATGTATTGCATAAAGTAGCTATTGAATGTAGGTTTTATAAGATAAGCAGGGCTATTCTACTTACTCCCTTCAAAATTTTTAGCTAAACACTATTCGTTAAAGAATGTGTCCGCCATATTCGATCAGAATCTTGCTATATCTGAGATCCCCTATATAACGCGGTTGACTTAGTGTTCACTCAGTAGCAACAAAAAAAACTGTATACTTCTTCTAATGCAGCAAAGTCAGATAGCAAAAAAGACTTAGAACAGTTGTACAGATCAATGCAGTGTACAGACAAACACAAATTCCCCTAACTACAATAAAATGTAAACAAAGGTAATGCTAGATAACCAGCACTAACATGGGTCGCCATTCCACGCCGATACCCAGGACAGTAAAGCAATTAGGTGTAACAAATGCGAAAGGTATCCCCTGGTGCTAATATCGTAGATAGTATTATCGGCAATGATGTTTGCCTATTTACATCGAAAGTTATCCTGCAACATTCACGAAAACGCTGAATTTATTTCTTGTTAACTAACAGTCAGTTTAAACAATCAGATTAGAAGTTTAAACAATACTTTTTTTGGTGTGAATACGAAAATATTTTACCAATGCATCCATGAATCCTATCGCAATACTGATCTGGAGAACTGCAGCAGGTCTTTTAACAGCATTGACCATAATATCATTCCAAATGTTGATGTGTGCAGTCTATTCCATACATGTACCATCCATAGCATGCTTCATAGAAATATGATTATTGTATGTACACTCCTTATGGTCAATTAAAACAGATAATTTCGGCTGACTTATCGTTCTTAGATAGATTTTTACAGTCTAGTAATTGAAATATAAAAATTTTTATTGTGTAGAGTAATTCCTAGAAAATTATAATAATTTCTATTGTTGATCACTGATATTTTAATATGTATGGACAGTTTTACAATTATGAAATTAATTGAAAGAACTATATGCGGTATACTGCACATCTTTGCCCCCAAGAATATATCTTTTAATAAAGAACTTTATTCGGTAATAATCAATATTTGCCCCCCCCCCCCCCCCCGAATCAAACTTTGACGGAGAAATATTTCATTCTTATCTTAAACAGGGGGTTATATGCTGACTTCAAAGCACTGAATATTTTCACAGGCAATGACTTCATATGTTTGAAATGACGTCACAAAAATGACGTAAATTTAAAATTTCCATGATTTCTACAGAATATATATATTTATTAAATAGTCTATTTATAGTCCCTATATAATCTATACAAACGCAAACAGTTCATAACACTACATAGTCACCTGATTTGAGGCCGTATTTACAGGAGGGTCAATGCGCGTGCAACGGCATTATGACGTCACAATCAAAATATCAAACAACGTTGTAAACGATGGTTGCAACGGCCGCAGCGAGCTACGTATCTGTGCAGGAAAACAATTATTCAAACCTATTTCAGGACTATTTTTTAACATCTGGACGTCTTACACATAGCGAAACTTGGAAAGGAAAACACTGAGGCTACAAACAGTAATCTGGAGATTTTTTTTTATTTTCAACAATGGAAGATCGCAAATGAAAATGGCGTCGTCAATCAGCCTTCAATGTCTTATCTATTGAAATCCCGACTATATAATAAAACAATTATGGACTCTTTTGGTGCAATATGGTTTGTTATACACCAGAAAAATATCCATATTGACCTCGACTTCGCCTCGGTCAATATGAATATTTTTCTGGTGAATAACAAACCATATTCAACACCAAAAGAGTCCATAATTGTATAATATTACGTCGATATTTTGAGTAAAAATCATTGAGCGCAGGTCTGATCAGGCTCAATATTTTGATATGATGTGTTGTATGATAATTATGGAATAAGCAAATTAACAGCGTCCCGATACATTTCTATAGTCGACGCAGCATCTCGATACCCCGATATATTTTGTATTACCGGTATACACGTACAAAAAGATAACTATTTATTACCTTCTATGATATCTATCAGTCATTTTTAGGTTTGAATCGATGACACATCTGTCATGCACGATGCATTTGAATAGCATATTTTTTTTAGAAAGAATTTACTATAACAGTTTAATTTCGTACAATACCATACACAACTTCGCACAATAATTTAAACAAAGATATATTGGTTTTAGCGATCTAATATATGTTCATTTGAAACGTCATTTAACAAATCAAATGCATATTTCTGTTCTTCCAGACTTAGTTAATAGAATGACAAAACGAATACAGAAATAATGAAAGAAAACAAAAAAATTAATTATCGTCAATGATTGATTGATTGTATACTGTTTAACCCTTTCGACGCCAAAACGACAAAAATGTCGTTTACTGTGTCAACGCCAAACCGACAAAAATGTCGTTTTCCAAAAAAATATTTACTTTATCTTTTATTTGCCATTTATCTTTTGTGTAATTAAACAAAGTCATATCTAAATTTTGACACAAGTATAGGCCTTTATTTTTGTATATGTACTGGTCTTTATATGACGTCATTTTGTTACGTTGACGTTGAATTGTGAAGTCAAGTTATGAGTGAGTACGCTAGCGTTGAAAAAAACAAAGTATGGCGCACCATTCGGACATTACTTCTGACATAGATTCGGACGTGTTCGATTCCGATGATGATGATAATGAAGAATTTACTACATTTCGAGGTCCGTGGTTTAATGTAGTGGATCCTAGCTCGTTTATCATGCCGGACCCTGATTTCCAAGAAGAAACAGGGCCCGTCAATTTTGATCCAGGTATGTCAAGTTTGGAGTTTTTCATGAAGTTTCTCCAGCATGATCAACACGACATTGTTGATATTCTTGTAAGGGAGACAAACCGTTATGCAGATCAGGAGATATCAAGAAGAAGCAGGCCCCCCATGATTTTAGGTCCACATTCACGGTTCCGTGATTGGTATCCCGTAACCCGAGAGGAGATGTTGGCTTTTATGGGCATTGTGTTGAGCATGGGGGTAGTGAAGAAACCAACATATGAATCTTACTGGGAGAGTAATACACGTGCTTGGTCAATGGAAACTCCAAATTTTTCCCAAATCATGGCTAGAAATCGATTTCAAGCCATACTGCAGTTTCTCCATTGCAATGATAACACAACGGCAGCAGAACCTGGGGAAATTGGGTATGATCCACTTCACAAAATTTCTCCAATCATTGAGTTTTTCAACGAAACCTTCAGCCGAAATTACAAGTATGTTTTCAATATAATACATATATACACATAGATACATGTATCTTAATTTTTTCCTCACGAGGAAAATGAGCAAATCGAAGTTAAAAATTATAATGTGAACAAAATTTTATACATATCTCAGTATTCAGCCCTTTTTGTGCTGCCATTATTGTTGTAATTTTCTATATGTGGATCCAAAGATATTTGACGTTCGAACATTTCGTACATGTTACAAAACCTGTATTTTTCACGAATATCTTACTTGTTGTATTGTACATCTTTGATTTGTACCTCTATGGTAGAAATCCTTCATATTCTGTCATGGTATGATATTTATATATTATTTAAATGTGAAATAACTGAATATCCTCCTGGGGTCGGTGAATAAATATACTAAGTACTCGTATATAAAGTTTTGAACGACAGAATGTTGATGCTAAACGCAGTCAGGTTATTGTCTTTAATACCCCCCCCCCCTTTTTATGTGTCAATTTTTTTTTTAATTTCTTTTTAAGAATTCAGTAAAAATCTGCAAATGAGAGCTTCCTGTTAACACATATTTTTTAATCATAAACTTATTTATCTGTCAGGATTTTATTTTGTTTTTCAAATAAAGGCTTAACCGGGATGTTTGTGTAGATGAAAGAATAGTAGGTTTTAAAGGAAGGCATCAACTCAAACAATACATCTCAAATAAGAAGGCACACAGATGGGGGATCAAACTTTGGGTGCTGTCCGACTCCACTTCTGGGTACACTCATCACATTAACGTATACAAAGGCAGGAGAAATGAGCGACGCAGTCCGAACGGACAAGTAAGTGCTTTTGACAGAATAATAATAACTGTAACTGTTAAGAAAGTATTTGACACGATATTTCATTAAAAAAGTATATTCTCACTGCGATGATGCAGTATCCTGCAAGTAGAGCTATTTGTTAAGTCACGTGCTCTGATCTTGACTTATGGGTGTGGTCCTGCTTTTCTGTATTTTTGTTTTCAAATCTCAAGCATCATGCATTTACGTGAGTACTCTGGCATGCTTTTTCCGCGAGAACTTGAAACTGATTTTCCGCTATTTGATTTACACGGGCTTATGTAGATTTGAAATGTCTTTTCCATAAAAAAAAAAAAAAAAACAAGTCGAAATATTCTGTTCCGCGTCTTTTCTACTATTTGTATATCTTGCTAAACTATGATTTTATTTCGAGGAATTTAACAAACAGCGGCAATTTTTTATTTGTCAATTAATTCAATGCTTAGAAGACTTTGTGATTTTAAAAAATAACTAAAAGATCTTTTTAGCAGATTGCACATTTACAAGCTAAAGAGTATAAGATCAATTAATACCATAGTACATTAATTACATAGCATTTTTTTTTATCAAAACGTGGGAGTGCAACACCCCCCCCCCCCTCACACACACACCGAAAAAAGAACACTAAGTGAAAATCACGCGAACTCGTATATGTTGTAGGGTTATCAGGCAGTAATGGACTTGATGGAACCCCATTTCTACAAAGAGCATCATGTCACTTTCGACAGTTTTTTCACCAGCCCCAGACTGGTAT